GGCTGTCAAACGATTACAATTTTTAATCAGATTAATCACAGCTTAAAAATTAATTAATCATGATTAATCACCATTCGAACTATTTTCCAAAATATGCCATTTATGTATATTGTTGTGGGAATGGAAAGAAGGCGGATATATCCATTTAACATACAGTATCTATGTTTATTATAACATTGTCTGCATGTCAAAATGAAAGACAACCCACACATCAATCATCAAACCGTGGGGTCTTAATTCATTACGTGTTGATTTCTATCAACGGGGGAGTACTTCAGGAAAGTCGACAGAGGGGGGGGGCGGCGGCTAGTGGAGTACTTCTTGACCACAGAGTGTGAACGTTGTGATCAGCTGTTTTAGCGCAGTTCTCCAGTGAAGGGGGGGGAGTCTCCCTCCGCAGCCGGTTGGCTAGTTTTGGCACAATTACAGACCGACGTTAACAGCAGCCCTGTCTGTGCACACGGAGACCGACTCTGTCGTCCGGTGATCTAACCGCCTTCTGGAAAAGCTTCACAAGTACGTCGGTACGCAAATGCGCTTTGTGACACAAGTGACGGTACGCATTTCAGATTACGCACATAACCTGCGTACCAGTTATGTGCACCCCTGTACTACAGCAAAAGTATTCTCCGTCGGGACTTCCTGCAACAACACCACGCCGTTATCAAAGATGTTCTATTGAGAAGACGATCACTACGTGACAAAAGTTTTCAAAACCGTGGCTACTGAAATCAATCTTACTAACTGCTGTCTGTGCAATTTACTCCGCGAGTTGGCAGACTTTATTTTGCTTACTTTAACATCATTTTTCATGGTGGGGCTAAGCCATTTCTTGGTATGGGTGTAGCCTACCCCAGCCATACCCTGGCGCTGCCACTGGTGGCATGTATGGGGCGGGCCATTCTGCACATGCGTTAAATGCGTTAAATATTTTAACGCAATTAATTCAAAAAATTAATTACCGCCGTTAACGCGATAATTTTGACAGCACTACTATTTACACTATTCATTCATGAAGCATGACGCTGCGCTGTCAGCACGCGTCTCCATGTTTGTGATTGGTCAAATGTTGCTAACCCCGTCCCTTTCACGTGAGCGCGCTCTCAGCCGGACAGAGAAACCCTGGTTGATTTACTGAGTTGATAATCAGCTTCGTAGGACCGCTTATCGACATCGCGTTTGTTAGGGTCAGTTAAGCCGGGTAAATCGAACATATCCAGGTCCAGGGTCTGTTGAACTGGCTTCGTCGTACAGGGCACTGGAGGCAGTAACGTGTAACTCAGCAGAATCTGAGAAGAGCAGCACCAGCTGCAAAGAGCTGTGCCTTTTACTGTTTACTTCACTAGAACCGCTGAATAGGGATCGAGGCTGCTACGTTTAACCACACACACCTATACACACATCGAACTGAGTATTCCCCCTCGCTTTATGAAGGAGATGTCCTGTCACCGGGGCGCATGATGTGTGTATGTGTGTGTATCCGACACCACCGGCATTTGTTTTCAAATTACCACGAACAGCACACGCACACACACACACAAAACGAGGCCACGCTTTATTAACTCGTGCGCACGCTTTAGTAACTCGTGCGCACGCTTTAGTAACTCGTGCGCACGCTTTAGTAACTCGTGCGCACGAGTTACTAAAGCGTGCGCACGAGTTACTAAAGCGTGCGCACGAGAAAGTAAAACGTGGCCACGTTTTATTTATTTTTCTCTCTATGAACCCTCCAGTGCTCCGTAAAATATAACAAATAGATACATTTAAAAATCAAGCGCGTTACCGTGGAAACAACAATAACTGTTACGTCAGTCAAAGAGCGCCGCTGCAAGCGTCATAGATATATAACACGGCTAGCATACTACGAAGATGGACAGATTTTTAAAACGACCGGTTACGGCTACAAATGAAGTAAATGAAAAACAGACAGGTCCACAGAAAACTACCGGTATGCTTAGTCCTAACTTACTTTAGTTACTGTACTGCAAAAAGCAGACGGCGCTGCGCTCAACACACAGACAGACTCAAAACCATGGACACACTGGCACATAAGTTACATAAACAATTTCTAGGCCTAAATTGCATAAGCTACAGTATTGCAACTAAGCAGACAGTTCTCTTTCTCTATCTCTCTCTCTCTCTCTCTCTCTCTCTCTCCTCTCTCTCTCTCTCTCTCTCTCTCTCTCTCTCTCTCTCTCTCTCTCTCTCTCTCTCTCTTTCGTCTCTCTCTCTCTCTGCTCTCTCCTCGTCTCTCTCTCTCTCCTCTCTCTCTCTCTCTGTGTGTGTGTGAACAAATTGTAATTTAAAACACATTTCCTACATGTCTACACCACCTTGCCCTCTTTGGATTTAATCAAGAAACATTAACCCTGTATAATGTTAACCAAAACTGTAAAATTATGTTATATTACTAAAAACGTATTATTGGGAATCACGAGAAGTTTCAGAGCGACAGAGACACAGAGCGTCCCCGTAACCATGGTAACTCACTCTCACTCCTGCCTGGTGCGCATGGCGGGAGAGGAGAGGGAGAGACGCAGAAGTGAGACTGATTACTTTGAGCAACATGCATGGGAATAAGTTACAATATAATACATTTGTGTATATTTCTCACTATTCAGATGGTCATGGTGCTGCTGTTGCGCAATGTGCAGAAGTGTCTTCTTTTCGCACCATGACATTATCAGTTGTGAATTTGTTTTTCACTGCTTGAGAAAACGGACTTGTGGCTGAGAGCGTGTGAAAAATGTCAATTGTGTGAGAGTTGGCAGCCCTGTGAACTCGCTTGATATTATTATGTATGAAACTGCCAATCAGATTTATTTACTTATTATCGAAGGTGCCGGAACGCTGTTCTGGATCGTTCCGGCCCACTTTAACCCTTGTGTGTGTGTGTGTGTGTGTGTTGTGTGTGTGTGTGTGTGTGTGTGTGTGTGTGTGTGTGTGTGTGTGTGTGTGTGTGTGTGTGTGTGTGTGTGTGTCTTGTGTGTTGTGTGTTGTGTGTATGTTCTGAAATGCACTTCAAATGATCACTTTTCTCTTGATTTCCCTTCTTTAGGTACAGTGTTACTTGCAGCTAATTGATTGATTGTTTTATGGGTATTCTGTGTTGAGATGGAGCAAATATTTTAATACATATCCAATATCTTTCTAATACATTTCTCTTGTGTTGTTCTTTCACATAACTAAGACTATAGAAGTGTAAAAAATAGGCTACGTCAGATTATTCCAAGGGACATACAAGTCAAATCAAGTACATTTTTATTTATATAGCCCAAAATCACAAATCAGAATGAGGGGGTCCTTGGTGTATTCTCTATCTTGTAAGGGGTCCTTGGCTGAAAAACAATTGAGAACCTCTGGATTAGGGGGTGAGCCGCTGGTGAACAGCTGTTAGAACGGGCCGTTCAGGTGTTCAGAGCAGAGCGGCAGAGCGTGATGTGAACTGAAAAGTTTTTCTGTCGCAATATCATTGTCACTATCTGCTAACGTTAGCTTTAGCCTTCGTTTTCTAATAGTTTTTTTTCATAGGCTATAAACAGAGGTGGTATAAGTATAGAGATTGTAGGCTACTAGAGTAAAAGTAGAAGTACTCAGATCTTGTACTTTAGTAGAAGTACTCAGATCTTGTACTTAATGAAAGTAGAAGTAGACCTACTCAGATCTTGTACTTGAGTAAAAGTAGAAGTACTCAGATCTTGTACTTGAGTAAAAGTAGAAGTACTCAGATCTTGTACTTTAGTAGAAGTACTCAGATCTTGTACTTAATAAAAGTAGAAGTAGGCCTACTCAGATCTTGTACTTGAGTAAAAGTAGAAGTACTCAGATCTTGTACTTGAGGAAAAGTAGAAGTACCAGAGTGTAGGAATACTCTGTTACAGTAAAAGTCCTGCATTCAAAATGTTCCTCAAGTGAAAGTAGAAAATTATTATAAAAATACTAAAAGGCATGAAAATACATTTTCAAAATGCTCAACAGTGCTGCCAAAATTATAAACTGACTGCTACACAATTAAAATAAATGCTTTTATATATTTCTATTAGATGTAACTCTTTGGCGTTTCTGTTATTATTACCTGCTGCTTTAGTTGTTCTGACTGCTAAAATCCTCTGTTATTCCTAATTTTAAAGCCGATATTCCGTGGGGTCGGATCCTTGTCACCTTTTTCATACCTGATGAGTTTGCATCCCTGACTACAGTTGCTTTAGCGTGTAGAAGCTAGAAGCTAGTCCCCCCCTAGCTTCAGATTGGACCCCCCTAAGTCATTTAGAATAATAAAAATAAATGTTAAAATAATTAATTTTTTGATATAAATCAGTAAAATCAGGCAAAATAAGAATTAAATAACATAACCCTAACCTAACCCTAACCCTAAAACCGAAATAAAGTAACCAAAAACCGAAAAGAAACTAACAAAATCCGCCATTATCCGGCACATTTTTGGGCACAATTTCGGAGCGCACAATTTCGGAGCGCACAATTTCGGCGCGACCGCCACGACGACTCAGAAGGTGCCCTTTTTTTTTCTCTTGAGCACCTGCCCCTATACATGTCTGTGCACGCCACTGACAGAAGTCATTGAAGAGTTTGGGTTTAGGTCAAATCCATCAGTTACAGTATGCAATATATAAAGACTCTGCCTTAAGTAGCTCACATTAATATAAACTCAAATACCAATTCACGTACTATAAAGCACAACGTGTGAAAACAAATACATCATTCAGATGAAAATAAGCAGAACAGTATTTTATGCAGTGTGAATTTTCACACTGTTCCATCTTCATTAAGAAAAAACACAACGTGACAAAACATCAGATATAAAGATATTTTCTTTGAAAGCATAATTATACTATTAGAAAAAGCATCAAGACAGATACAAAAATGTATAAAATATCAGAGCTAAGAATGACTAATAAACTTGGTGGAGATGTCAATATTTAAGAAAGTATATATTGTGTTTGCTAATACACATGTTCATATTTGGGCAGATTATTACATACTTGTACTTCCTGAGGAAATTGGGCTTCTCAAAGAGTTGGGACCAGCGGGCGATAGTGTGGCCTGTGAGAGAGGAAGGGAAAGCTTGTTAAAAATGAATCTCCTCTTTGTGTGCATGATTTCCTGTAATGTTCCTAAAGATGTGAGTTAAACATTGCTAAATCGTGGCAACCTAATCCAAGTACAGTGCAGTGATTGAAGTTGAAATGCTTATTTCTGACCAACTGATTGTAAATCACAGGACAGCTCTGAGACTGTGTGCTCTGTGAGCATCTGATGGATGTCTGAGTGGAGACATACCGCGCTGGATCTCCTCCTTCATGATGGCCAGGGTGGAGGGAGTCACGTTGAAAAGCAGTGTTCTGCATTGGATATGCCGGTGTGATGATTGGCATAGAGTGGGAGCGGTCTGCCAGATTAACCTGGAAAATGCATCATGTTCAGCTTGCAGTTGCTTTTGGGCAAATGTGTTAGTTAACTGATATATTTTATATTTATAGTTTAAATTCTGCCGAGGCCTTACCCTTGCATCCCACACAGGAAGGTTGAAATGACAATCCTTCAACTCCCTCAACATGATGGGGTTTGGCCACTTCCTGTCACAAAACAAGATTTATACAAAATATGGTTTAGTGGATTTTTTTTCTTCTGTTTTATTGGAAAGAAGGCATTTACTGAAGAAATGGGACAACTCACCACATGTTGTACTCCTTGAAAAACGTTGTGACCAGGGTGGAGGCTGAGGCGTTCGGGTACTCCTGGCAGATTCTGGCTACCAGAATGGCCCAGGAAACGCCGCCAAGGAAACCCAGAGAGTTTGAGTATATGTTTCTTTCTGAAGAGAAAGGATGAGAGAACAGATTAAGACCTCCACTTCACAATGTTACCTCATGATAACACTGGCATGATCTAATCTGCTCCAACCCACTGCAGATGTAGTCAATTAGGTTTATGGCTGTTTTAGTATTTTCTGATTCATTTAGTCATACAAGAAGAGATCTCGACTCACGTTTGGCCCAGAGCTTTATGGTCCTCAGAGCGAGTCTGAGGTTCTGAACATTCGGTACGAGCCTGAGGATCTCCTCTGTTACTCTGTAGCCTACAAAAAACAAACAAGAGAAAGATTAATATCAAAAGAGTTACTTTAAAAAAGGCAGACCAAAATACATCACAAAAACCTTCCTGACGGGTTCAGCTGTCAGGTACTAATGCTGCAGGATGTCCCCGCAGGTCTCTAACATGATGCTTACCGTTCAGACTCCTCACAGAGTGGAGGTCCGTCCCCTGTAGCCAATCCTCTCGGAGCAGGTCCATTTCCTGTGGGACTCTGTACCTGGCCACCCTGGCAAAGACTAAGTCTATCTAGGATGTAGCAGGAGCACACAAACAAAGATGAATACACATGCTGACAAACCTTTGATTGAAGAATACTGCAGAGACAACATTTCTTCTTAGGTCAAATTTACCTCAAGTTCTTCAAAGGTCAGTTTAACGACAGGCACGAATGCCTCTTCAATGACCTGAAGACAACAACAGTCAGTAACTTGCAACAGGGTAAAAAAAGTAACTTAATGAATGTCTTATAGACGTACCCGTATGTCTTTGACCTCTCTCTGCCTCTTCAGTTTTCTAACGAAAGAGGAGAAGAAGTCCTTCCTCTGGAGGAAACCCGGTCCCACACAGAGGACGTCGATGTCGACGCCTTTCGAGGCGACCCCCAGGTGATGGGAGCCGAAAGGGACGAGCTTCCCTCCAACCTTCTGCGGGACAATGTCTGGTGAATTCTACAACAACAAAGAAAATGTTACCAAACCAATAACACATTTCGAGTATAATTTTAGGAGTTACTTTTGAAAGAAAAATATTTTATAAAGATAGATGTCTTACCATTTGCAGACACATCTCTGTGAGCCACTCTTTGAACAGTGACTCCAGTCTCTGGACCACATTCTCTCTGCAAACAAGACACAAAGAGCATTTTCAGACTTTGTCATTCCTCTGAAGCGAAGCATGTCACGGTCTCTTTCACCTGGGCATTTGCTTGTTTATGGTATTTTAAAGGAATATCCCCCCCCCCCCTTGAAATGACTGTACCCTAAAAATCATAAGCCTACTCAAAGCTGTATTAGTTACATGTTAATGATGAAATATATAAATATGCATCTCACCTTTGTCTCAGCTCCACGTAGCTCTCAAAGCCTCCGAATGACTTGAGAATCTCGATCAAGTCATTTTCTTGTGCACACTCCTCGTCACGTGTTGGTTGGGGGGGGCACATACACCTTTTGTTTAGGTCTGGATGGAGCTGTCCTCCTTGTTCGTCTGAAAGGCATGTATGAACGTTAGTGCACTATTAATGCAACAGTTATGACAACAAAATATAAAAGGAGATAAACTATATCCAGAAACATTGATGGAGTGGAAAATAAAGTGACTCAACCCCCCCATAGTGCTAAGAAATCTGAAAGTAATGATGTCAGCTGCCTATATTACTGTTAGCAAATGGTAAGTATCAATACAAGTCGAAAACATTAAAAAACACAAGTTGAGGCCAATTAAACAAAGAAGTTGACTTGCAAAATGTATCTTGCATAGACCTTTTAAAATACAAGAAAAAACGGACTAAAGTAGGCCTACTTACCGAGGCATTGTAGCAACAGTTGAGCTCACTAATGGCGCGTTTCCACTGCAGCGGGTAGCCCCGTTTAAGCGTCCTTAACCGTCCTCAAGCGGGCCAGGCCGGTTTTTGGTGGCGTTTCCATATAGCCTAGTACCGGCCAGCGGGTACTTTTTCCCTCTTTTTCCGGCCTCATAAAATCGTGGTTCCCTCAGACCAGGGCCAGGGCTGAACTAGTGACGTCAACACTCTCAACTGCTGATTGGTCAGAGAGAATCGTCAAAAGATTGCGCGCGAGTTCATCCCTAGCGTCGCATATATATCTAGAAGCAAGCTTGCAGCATTTTTATAACAAGCATTTTGTAAACGGATGAGCTACAAAAATGGCTACGTCTAATAAGAAAAGCACACCGTGGTCGACCGAGGAGGTGACGACGTTCCTACATCTCATTGGGGATGATCAAATCCAGCGGGAGCTCGACGGAACAACTCGAAATGTGAACAAAAACAAAGCCGATCGCCCCGCCTACACTGCGTTGCTACCCCAGGTCCTGTTACGGCCCGTCTACACTACAGGCGTCGAAAAAGCTTGAAGCTGGGCGTGTCTGAGGCTTTGCGATTTTTTGCGAGCAACGCGACCAACAACCAATCACATGAATCTCCCGCCCCCGACATACAAAGCAATAGCAATGTTAAAACGAAGTAAACTGGATATAAAATCCCCAAACAGGCGAAAACCTACCAGTTTCACCCACTGTCTTCTTGCCACTCCTCCATGCCTGGTTCCTCCGGTTTGTATCCCGGTAAATAGTTCTGGTCGTAAAGAACCGGGTGATTTGCTACCGTAATTTCTCGTTTGGAATAATGAGGAAATGAACTGCGGTCTGGCTCTCCCAGCTTGCACGCGGTTTGATTGGCTAGCGCTTGTACTGGCGGGATTTGCATAAACGGGATTTGATTGGCTGACGCCAGCTTCGAGCAAGCATCGAGCCTCAAAAGATGAACATTGTTCAACTTTTGACGCCGATAGACGCTCGGGATGCTTGCAACGCCTTGCCATGCTACCCACAATGCAGTTCGGCGAAGTTTGAAAATATCCTACGTCACCCCATTCAAAATGAATAGGCGAAGCGTTGAAAGCATTTTTTGACGCCTGTAGTGTAAGAACGGGCCGTAAACTGTAATGGAAATGCGCCACGGCCTGGGCCGGCCAGCGAGGCAGCCCAATGCCAGAGCGAGGACGCTTAGGGGACGCTTAAACGGGGCTACCCCGCTGCAGTGGAAACGCGCCATAAGGTTGACATATGTATCAGGTTTTTCGAATTTATTTAGAAAATGCCTCTCTCTCTACAAACAACTTTGTGTGTGTTTGTGACTGAGATGTGTTTTGGAACACTGACTGGATTCGTATCGAGCGCTCACCATACGACGTCATCTTTCTCGAATGGAACTTAAGAACCATGGCACGTGATCCGAGAAAAAAACGCCACGTGACACCGAACTGTTTTTGTTTTAAATTCCGCGGTAAATTTGTAAACAGAAATACTTTCTTCTCCTCACACAGCGGGTGTTTACTTTGTTACAGGAAATGGATATATGCAAAATAAAAAGGAAAATATAATAGGCTTACATATTGCATGAAGAGTCTTTTAAAATATGCCTACTTATGAAGTAGGTGCATACATTTACATTAGACTATATAGTAGCACAGCTGCAGCAACTGTTCGTTGTTTCGCTATACCATGTACACGGAGTCATAAGACTACTTGGGCTTTAACAATATATATTTTAAAACTCAATTCACACCATGGCAGAAAAAATCCTTGTGCCTTCGTTTCAATTGTTTTCTTTCTTACAAAGTACAATGTAAAAGCGATTGCAATGTAAAAGTAGAAAATACCAAAGTGTAGAAATACTCTTTCACAAGTAGCCTACAAGTACTGCAATTAAAATGTTACTCAAGAGAAAGTAGAAAAGTATTGGCATACAAATACTTAATGTACCATAACCTACTCATGATACAGATTGGCCCATTTCAGAATCTATGTTATGATTATAATTATTGATAATATGATTATCACTGGTAAAGGTGGAACTAATTGCTAACTGCTTTTATTTATCATGTGAATTCAATCCAGGTGTAGCTAAAGTCTTATTTAAGTGTTGATCATGTTATCATTATTCCATATCAGCAAAGTAACTAAAGCCATACGTTAATGTTGTGAAGTAAAAGTTCAATGGTGATTTGTAGTGGAGTAGAAGTACAAAGTATAAAATGGTAATACTCAAGTAAAGTACAAGTACCTCAAAATATACTTAAGTAGTAGCCTACTTGAGTAATAGTTACTTTACACCAAAGGCGATAGTGATTCTTCACCCTGGCCCAGGGTGTAAATGTTGTTGTTTAAAATCGAACTGTTTACATACTATAGGGCAAGTAATAATGTCTCACTGATAAAATGAGAACATATTTTCTTATTTTCTGTAAAGATCAGATTTTGCGTCAAGTAAAAAAGTGTATTTATTTAAGAGAAAACTGAGTGAAAATACAATGAAAACGTATTCTTATTTTAAACATTTCTGTGGTCTTCTCCAGCCAGATTAAAGACCACAACCATGCCGAGTAGTAAACTCAAGCCTGCATCAAAGGCTTATCAGAATCAGAAATAAAGTGTAAACAGACCAAATGAAACGCAGACAATCTGCGACTGGCTCCCAAAGCTTATTTACAATCTATCTGACTGTGAATCAAAGTCACCATGTTGCCCTCTGGTGGCTGCATCACAAATACATTTAAAGAACAAAAACAAAAACAAATCAAACAAAGATATGGAATACAATGCATCTTGTCTCTACTTTATTGTAAGTATGCATTTGCTGTTTCATTATTAGAAGAAAAACACATGTTGAAAAGACAGTTTTTCTGCCTTTTGTCTTAAATGATAGTTACAATGGTTTTTCATTGTAACATGATATTCAAAGATTACTATGCACTGAACAAATTGATACTTTGGATCAACTTAAAATGTTTCACTAATTTGTTACAGCAATTTTTTTCGTTTATTCAAAATTTATTTTTTGACCTCAAAAAATGTATTTGAGTTAAGTAAAAAATATTGCTTCCGTCTAAGATATATATTTACATTCACACAAAGTAATAAGATGATTCATTCTGAAGACCGCACAACATGTATTACTTTGTTATAACTTAATTTTTCCTTTTGGACTAACCTCATATTTATATTAGATCTAAGTAGAGTTTTTAAAGGTGGGGTAGGTAAATTTTGGAGAAACCAGCTCAAGTGCGCTAGAATTTGAAAATACACAGCCGGAAAAAATCTGCCACTTCCTTACAGAGCCCCTCCTCCAACACAAAAAGTGTATCTCGAGCCCGTTTCTCAAATTTACCTACACCCCACCTTTAAGTGTGTGCAAACAATTTAAAAAAAATACTTCATTTTGTTGCAGGCAATATTTTTATTATAAATATTTTTCTTTTATTACAAAGCAAAAACTTTAATGTACATCAATACAATACTGTGTTTTGTTTACTGTAAACAAATTACATTTACACTTAAACTTATAACACTTTGTTTAGCTCAGTTCACATAAAGACAGGAATATTCTCTTCAAAAGACCTAAACATTTATTGGGATGTCTTTAAAATATGCATCACCTATTCTGTTTTATAAAATACAATATTTTTTTCATTAAAAATAAATACATCAATAAATTAATTGAGTAAATTATGCAACCAATTTGCACTTATGTAAAAAATAAATAAAAGTATAAAGTAAATCAAGATCACTTTGACTTTTTTTTTTTACAAAACTCTCCTGTAGCCTTAACCATATAGGCTACATCACAAATATGCATATGAACATGTTAAACTATAGCTTGCATAAACTAGCTCCTTTAAAATGTAAATATGTAATGCGTTTAAAACCTGGATGCCTTTTAATAAAAGACTAGAATGTATGCATGACATCTTGTTTTTTTTAACATTTTTAAACACTTCAACAATATTTTCTGCAGCTCTTAATTACAACTTCAGATACACATGTATTAGCCATTAAGAAGGGTTTAAGTAGCACCAGAATCTGTGAAGTCACATTCTTTTTTAACTTCATATGAAACATACAGAGGCCAAAACAATTAAGCAACGAAAAATGCAGTTCAATCCTTATGCAATCTTTGAACAAGGTCAGTTCAATAATTTCAACCAGATACGAGTTCTTGTAGAGACTGAGCTGGAGGGTGTGGACAAGATGTCAGTATCGTCTGATTGAGCAGACACTGCTTCTTCACAGACGGTAAAGATGTATTCTTGGACACCATCATCAGGTATTGGGATGACCTTGATAGTTGTCAAATCTTCAAGGTCAGCAGTGGATGTCAGGATAGTGCATCTCCAATGTCTCTGTCTTGATATTGCATTCTAAAACATCCACCTATAGAGTGCCACAGTGACACGTCCTAAAACCCGGCGGAAGTAAGTTAGCATTTTACCACTTCCGGTTCCTTCGACAAAAAAAAGCAATGCAATTTCTCCATAGGATTTTGGAAAATAGCTGGAAATAAGGTCTGTGGTTGAGACACATTTAAGAGACGGATCACGTTTGTTCAGCCGGATAATATCCACATGTCTACCCTACTTTATA